ACAATACCGGTACTACTATATCTGGGAGGGACTTGAGTACAATACCGGTACTACTATATCTGGGAGGGACTTGAGTACAATACCGGTACTACTATATCTGGGAGGGACCTGAGTACAATACTGGTACTACTATATCTGTTTTGGTCTTTGATACACAGCTTCAGAATTGTTCAGGGTTTTCTAATATTTTGAACTTCCTGTGCAATTTGTTTTTCTTGATATTTTGCTGTATTTCTATAGTCATTCTTATTTCTTGGTTCTCTATCTGGCAATATTTTTGGTAGATTTATCCGCTCCTTGTTAGAAAAATGTTTCAACTGTAGGTTTACGTCGCCTGCTAGTAGATGTTCTCAAGTTAATAGATACATGTTCTTTCATACGTTCGTATAGTTGCCTTTTCCGTACATGTACATGTTCTTTCCTACGTTCGTATAGTTGCCTTTCCCGTACATGTACATGTTCTTTCCTACGTTCGTATAGTTGCCTTTCCCGTACATGTACATGTTCTTTCATACGTTTGTATAGTTGCCTTTCCCGTACATGTACATGTTCTTTCATACGTTCGTATAGTTGCCTTTCCCGTACATGCACATGTTCTTTCATACGTTCGTATATTTGCCTTTCCCGTACATGTACGTGTTCTTTCATACGTTCGTATAGTTGCCTTTCCCGTACATGTACATGTTCTTTTCCGTATCGACATTCATCCTCAGTGATATGTTTTCCTCGTCATTTGGCTCACACAGTGCAGGCTGAATGCCGGGCTGTCTGCAGAATTTTAATTTGATTTCAGATACAAACTCAAGATACCAGCCTCTCTAATGAAGTGTTGACGATGGGACTGAACGCTTCACGTGCTTACATCCCTCGTTTTACATCAAAGCGACATGTAATGTTACATCTGAGTCTTCGTCGTGACAGCTCTGATATTTGATTTCTAGCTGCCACATGAATAGCAACTGTTTCTCGAATCACATTGAATTTATACCGTCCACACGCGAGAATTTCGAAGCTAACGTGAGTTACTTCCCTTCGAAAAGTAAGGTTTATTGTAAAACTGAAATCCTATAACATTATCATGACGGGACACACAGCGATTGCAGACTTGTAATCATTTCTAAAGTTATTAGTTGCTTACGATATATTCTAAGTTTGTCTGCACCTGGAATGGTCCCGCCGTTTGTACATGATCGAAGAATGTTATACACGTGTACATGTCCGTCTATCACCGTAGTTTGATAGCTGTATGTAATAGTTAAATACCTGAAATAAGTATGCTTCAATTTCACATGATGAATATTCTATCATAACTGTTACAGTACGCCCAAATGGCAGTAGATTTGGGATGGATAGGTATATTCAATCTCCTGCTCTTCGGAATTTGTTTAATCATGATATATGCGAATTTGAGGTATTTTAATTAACCCATGTAATTATATATCGTGTTATATTGCCATGTAATTATGTATCGTGTTCTATTGCCATGTAATTATATATTGTGTTCTATTGCCATGTAATTATATATCGTGTTCTATTGCCATGTAATTATATATCGTGTTATATTGCCATGTAATTATATATCGTGTTCTATTGCCATGTAATTATATATCGTGTTATATTGCCATGTAATTATATATCGTGTTCTATTGCCATGTAATTATATATCGTGTTATATTGCCATGTAATTATATATCGTGTTCTATTGCCATGTAATTATATATCGTGTTATATTGCCATGTAATTATATATCGTGTTCTATTGCCATGTAATTATATATCGTGTTATATTGCCATGTAATTATATATCGTGTTCTATTGCCATGTAATTATATATCGTGTTATATTGCCATGTAATTATATATCGTGTTCTATTGCCATGTAATTATATATCGTGTTATATTGCCATGTAATTATATATCGTGTTCTATTGCCATGTAATTATATATCGTGTTATATTGCCATGTAATTATATATCGTGTTCTATTGCCATGTAATTATATATCGTGTTATATTGCCATGTAATTATATATCGTGTTCTATTGCCATGTAATTATATATCGTGTTATATTGCCATGTAATTATATATCGTGTTCTATTGCCATGTAATTATATATCGTGTTATATTGCCATGTAATTATATATCGTGTTCTTTTGCCATGTAATTATATATCGTGTTCTAGTGCCATGTAATTATATATCGTGTTATATTGCCATGTAATTATGTATCGTGTTCTATTTCCATGTAATTATATATCGTGTACTATTGCCATGTAATTATATATAGTGTTCTTTTGCCATGTAATTATATATCGTGTTCTATTGCCATGTAATTATATATCGTGTTCTATTGCCATGTAATTTTAAATCGTGTTCTATCGCCATGTAATTATATATCGTATTATATTGCCATGTAATTATATTTTGTTAATTTTACTTCTGATTGTTGGAATTATATCTATGACACCAGATAGCTTTTTCTGTGTCTTGTTATCATCTCAGATCACGGGTTACAAGGTACTTCCTTGAGTATCTCTTTCAACGCATTTCAGACAATAATTTCCCGAAATATTGATATTCATAGATTCTGATTGGTCAACGTAAATCTGACAATGACTTTTCTAAGTACTGTTTGGTTCCATACCTACTTGTTTCATGTTTACACAATGGCAATGGTCATACTGTGTTCAAAGATGTGTGTTTAAATATTGTCAACTACGGATGCATTTCGCCAGTTGGCGATGTTAATATCAAATTTGACGGATGACTCGGATATTTAAAATTACATGTACTTCTTTAATTCTGATTCTTAAACTATAAGTCTGTTGTTGTCCCCATAATGTAGGAGTTCAGCGTCAATATCATGATTGATACATTGTACATGTAGATTATTAAACGTAGCTAGTCTTTGATTTTGGTAATATTTAACAGACAGAAAAGAAATTATATGTATTTTCACATGCAGAGCCACAAGAACACATAGGGTTATCCACATGCAGAGCCACAGGAACACATTGGGCTATCCACATGCAGAGCCACAGGAACACATTGGGTTAGCAACATGCAGAGCCACAGGAACACATTGGACTATCCACACGCAGAGCCACAGGAACAAATTGGGCTATCCACATGCAGAGCCACAGGAACACATTGGACTATCCACATGCAGAGCCACAGGAACACATTGGACTATCCACATGCAGAGCCACAGGAACACATTGGACTATCCACATGCAGAGCCACAGGAACACATTGGACTATCCACATGCAGAGCCACAGGAACACATTGGACTATCCACATGCAGAGCCACAGGAACACATTGGACTATCCACATGCAGAGCCACAGGAACACATTGGGCTATCCACATGCAGAGCCACAGGAACACATTAGGATATCCACATGCAGAGCGACAGGAACACATTGGGCTATCCACACGCAGAGCCACAGGAACAAATTGGGTTATCCACATGCAGAGCCACAGGAACGCATTTGACTATCCACATGCAGAGCCACATGAACACATTGGGTTATCCACATGCAGAGCCACAGGATCACATTGGACTATCCACATGCAGATTCACAGGAACACAGTGGACTATCCACATGCAGAGCCACATGAACACATTGGACTATCCAAATGCAGAGCCACAGGAACACATTGGGCTATCCACATGCAGAGCCACAGGAACACAGTGGACTATCCACATGCAGAGCCACAGGAACACATAGGGTTATCCACATGCAGAGCCACAGGAACACATTGGGCTATCAACACGCAGAGCCACAGGAACACATTGGGTTAGCAACATGCAGAGCCACAGGAACACATTGGACTATCCACACGCAGAGCCACAGGAACACATTGGACTATCCACATGCAGAGCCATAGGAAGACATTGGACTATCCACATGCAGAGCCACTGAAACACATTGGACTATCCACATGCAGAGCCACAGGAACACAGTGGACTATCCACATGCAGAGTCACAGGAACACATTGGACTATCCACATGTAGAGCTACAGGAACACAATAGGATATCCACATGCAGAGCCACAGGAACGCATTGGACTATCCACATGCAGAGCCACAGGAACACATTGGACTATCCACATGCAGAGCCACAGGAACACAATGGACTATACACATGCAGAACTACAGGAACACGATGGACTATATCCACATGCAGAGCCAAAGGAACACGTTGGGCTTAAAGGAACACGTTGGGCTATCCCCAGTATTTATACGGCTTGCTTTATTTGTCACTATAATTTATGTACGCATGAATTGGTGTCTTTTTGAAGAACAATTTCGAAGAAGGTGCGATCTGTTTGTTTTCGTATACAGACAATTCCAGACCTAGTTAGTTTTTTCTATAGTAACATTAGAATGCAAGATAAAAAAAAGTTTAAACTATCAAAACGCGCCCTAGAACGTTTACGATCTATATCACTCGAACCAAACCGAGGACACCATCAATAGAGATTGTACAGTATGGGCTAACCTACCGTGTTCTACTCCTGTTGTACTCGGTTATTTCTCGACTAAACACTGTTTTTAATGTCATAGCCTGAAATTCTTCGCTAATAAGTGGTATTTCTCATATCAACTTTAAAGAAAATTCTTAATATGAGATGCATGAAAAGTTTGAAAAGTCATCCCGTGAAAATCCATTGAATTATGTCAAATGTAATATATATATTTACATCTTTATAAAGAATTAAAAACAAACAACGCATTCATAAACAAAAACAAAGATTTTTTATTTAATAAATAACATGTAAAAGTGCATAACATGCACCAAGTAATTGAGAAAATTCATGTATCGTAAATCAGCCTGCTGGTCACGAAAGTATATTTAGAGCTTTCAGCTCAAAACGATTATAAATACATGTGAATTGAAGGTATGGCAGAACCAGCCTGCTGGCTGCTTAGTTTCCGTGTTACAATATATTCCGTATTGAAGTATGTTCCGTGTTAAGGTGTGTTCCGTGTTGAGGTGTGTTCCATGTTAAGGTTTGTTCCGTGTTAAGCTGTGTTCCGTGTTAAGGTATGTTCCGTGTTAAGCTGTGTTCCGTATTAAGGTATGTTCCGTGTTAAGCTGTGTTCCGTGTTAAGCTGTCTCTAAGACAATCACTGACAACCACACGTCTCTAAGACAATCACTGACAACCACACGTCTCTACGACTGTTACTGACAACCACACTTATCTACGACTGTTACTGACAACCGCACGTCTCTAAGACAATCACTGACAACCGCACGTCTCTAAGACAATCACTGAAAACCACACGTCTCTAAGACAATCACTGACAACCACGTCTCTACGACTGTTACTGACAACCGCACGTCTCTAAGACAATCACTGACAACCACATGTCTCTAAGACAATCACTGACAACCGCACGTCTCTACGACTGTTACTGACAACCACACTTCTCTACGACTGTTACTGACAACCACACGTCTCTACGACTGTTACTAAAAACCGCACGTCTCTAAGCCAATCACCGTAAACCGCACGTCTCTACGACTGTTACTGACAACCGCACTTCTCTTAGACAATCACTGACAACCGCACGTCTCTTCAACTGTTACTGACATACCGCACGATTCACTACCGACAATCACAATCCTCGACGACCACTACCGATAACCGCTCTCCTTGTTGACAACTAACGACAACCACACTCTCTTGCCACCACTAGCGACAACCGCACTCCTCTACAACCATGTCCTCGTGATGGCGGACAACAAGTTCCTCTCCTTCGTAATACAGCATACTCTGTGGTTTCAGTTTAGTGGGCACACAGCACGGCATGGATACCTTTCTTTTTTTCCCACGAGTGTTCGCTCGCATCATCCCTTGAAGCATCGCGTGGTTACTAGGTGATAGGCTGTCCTTGATCGGAGAAGGACAAATTCCTTTACACATTTTAGCGTTAAAATGTTTCGGATGCACAATCCATTTACCCCACCCTATTGTATTAAAGTCAACTTCAAAGTCTCGAACTTGACACAATTTTCGTTTCCTGTTGGTTCGGTTTGACTTTTTGGTTTCACGACGTGAGCGCTTGGCACGTGAATAATTATTTTCTGTACTGTTGGTTGGTCTTAAGCCAGCCTGTTTAAAAAATACATTCATAACATCTGTGTCTTTTGAAAACAAGACTAGAATTGATTTGCTTTTATTATATTCTCGTAGCCCTTTAAGGATGTTTAAGCGATTGTTTAGTGTTGACACGGTTCCTGGCACCTCGTATGCAAACGTAATGTCAAATTGTCCGTGAAAACCATTCATCCATGGCGTAATGGCTGACGACACATCCCACACGGTGTCCAGACCGTCAATAAAGGGTTTATGTCTAAAGAGAGTCGTCCTGATCTTGTTCATATTCTTTCGTATCTCCAGTACTACCCCTTTCTTCAAGGATTGCAGATGCTTCGTTTTTATCCGAATTTCCGCTTGGTGGAACTGCTCTGTGTGCGATCGTTTCGGGATCCGGAAGTGTATTTCCTGGTGACTATCCCATGATACCACATCTGTAAAATAAAATGTTAGGATGATGAGCCGTGTGTAAAATATTAAGAATAGACAATATTCTGCTTACGGTGAAGATCTGATTAAGCGATTGAAAGGTTGTTTTTGTTTAATTATTGGGTTTTTTCTACGAAGATTACAAAAAGCCAAATGGCTAGATTTATAACCATGCATTATTGCCCAATAATTGACGTGCGTGCGTATGGTATTGTCCAACAAACCGTTCACATACAAAGCAATTGTAAGTGCATGCCTTCCCCGTTTCAAATGCAAGTCAAACAAGAAATATCTCTTGAAAAATAGGTAAAGGTTTGATTTACATTATGTATGTGTTTATATGTCTGAAGCAGCTTTGTACCTCTGACATTACCCAAAGCATATGATGAAATGAATGGACACCAAAGAAATTCATAATTGTTTCAAAAAGAAAAATATTTTTATTTTCAGTAGTAGTCGAAGACTAATATGGTATGAAGTCGACAACGGTGATGTACTTGGTGAAAACCATGAGGATCGTTCAACGGGAGATAACTCCCAAATGTGTGGTTTATCGTCTATCAGCTTCAAAGTTTCAATGTATATGTCACCGCACTCAAACATCGAGTGGTATATCGCATAAACGTGAAATCAGTGTTGTGACATCTGGAGACAATGTTATCGTTATATGAGAAGTTAAGCATACGATATTGTGACCTATGATATGTACGTACCAGATATGATCATAGTGTGTTTCGTATCTGAAACCAAACTTTCCTTTTGTGAAAACTGTGTTGTTAATAAATAATGCACTAGTAAAATGAACCCCAAAACGATCTAACAAGGCTCAGCGAAATCAAACGGAAAACAATATAAAGTCAATAGTGTATTTGATTTAAACGAACAACTCTGGTCCAATCAGTCCAACCGTTCGGAAAAGGATAAATGAAAACCATTCCAAGTCCCTTTTAAAGTAAAATCCGCTTTGTTTATTACCTCAAATCTTCCTTTTTATATAATCCCTATGCCCACACATGGCGCCAACTAGCGCGTCATATAACATGGGAGTTTCCAGCTAAACAAGAGGAATCACAATAAAATAATAAGTCGTATGAGACTTATTCTAGACAAATTTGCTTCATACACCCACGTGAAGCTGGCACAACATCACCATCGGCTGCGCTAGCTATGGTATGGGCTGTGACAACGGCTTGTTGCGATCGATCTAAACCCCCTAAAACTTGTAAAATTACTCTGAACACCTTAGTTTAGGTCCAGATATAGCTGTAACCAATTCTCATGTCCCTGTGGCTTGCTGGTGACAAGAAACAAGGCGTCACGTGACAAACGTCTATTATTATAGTTAATTTCCGCTGATAACTTTCTTCTAACAGAACAATATAGCAAAGATCTATAATTATCACAAGCTTGATGTGAAGTGATCTCTGAGCAAGAAAACACGATAGCGACCAAAATCTAAACGATAACGTGAGGAAAGCAGGCTTACTCTCACTGTAGCCGACATTGTTACTGACTCTCACTGTAGCCGACATTGTTACTGACTCTCACTGTAGCCGACATTGTTACTGACTCTCACTGTAGCCGACATTGTTACTGACCCTCACTGTGGCCAACATTGATACTGACTCTCACTGTGGCCGACATTGTTACTGATTCTCACTTTGGCCGACATTGTTACTGACTCTTACTGTAGCCGACATTGTTACATTGTAGCTGACCTTGTTACCCTGTAGCCGACATTGTTACTGACCCTCACTGAAGCCGACATTGTTACTGACTCTCCTTGTAGCCGACATTGTTACTGACTCTACTTGTATCCGACATTGTTACTGACTCTCTCTGTAGCCGACATTGTTACATTGTAGCTGACATTCTTACCCTGTAGCCGACATTGTTACTGACCCTCACTGTGGCCAAGATTGATACTGACTCTCACTGTGGCCGCCATTGTTACTGACTCTCACTGTGGCCGACATTTTTACTGACTCTCACTGTGGCCGACATTTTTACTGACTCTCACTGTGGCCGACATTGTTACTGACTCTCACTGTAGCCGACATTGTTACATTGTAGCTGACATTGTTACACTGTAGCCGACATTGTTACTGACTCTCACTGTCGCCGACATTGTTACTGACTCTCACTGTGGCCGCCATTGCTACTGACTCTCACTGTGGCCGACATTGTTACTGACTCTCACTGTAGCCAACATTGTTACTGACTCTCACTGTGGCCGACATTGTTCCTGACTCTCACTGTCGCCGACATTGTTACTGACTCTACTTGTAGCCGACATTGTTACTGACTCTCACTGTGGCTGACATTGTTACTGACTCTCACTGTTGCCGACATTGTTACTGACTCTCACTTTGGCCGACATTGTTACTGACTCTCACTGTAGCCGACAGTGTAACTGACTCTCACTGTAGCCGACATTGTTACTGACTCTACTTGTAGCCGACATTGTTACTGACTCTCACTTTGGCCGACATTGTTACTGACTCTCACTGTAGCCAACATTGTTACTGACTCTCACTGTGGCCGACATTGTTACTGCCTCTCACTGTAGCCGACATTGTAACTGACTCTCACTGTAGCCGACATTGTTACGGACTCTCACTGTCGCCGACATTGTTACTGTCTCTTACTGTAGCCGACATTGTTACTGACTCTCACGGTGGCCGACATTGTTACTGACTCTCACTGTTGCCGACATTGTTACTGACTCTCACTTTGGCCGACATTGTTACTGACTCTCACTGTGGCCAACATTGTTACTGACTCTCACTGTTGCCGACATTGTTACTGACTCTCACTTTGGCCGACATTGTTACTGACTCTCACTGTAGCCAACATTGTTACTGACTCTCACTGTCGCCGACATTGTAATGACTTTCACTGTGGCCGACATTGTTACTGATTCTCACTTTGGCCGACATTGTTACTGACTCTCACTGTCGCCGACATTGTTACTGACTCTTACTGTAGCCGACATTGTTACTGACTCTCACTGTGGCCGACATTGTTACTGACTCTAACTGTAGCCGACATTGTTACATTGTAGCTGACATTGTTACACTGTAGCCGACATTGTTACTGACTCTCACTGTCGCCGACATTGTTACTGACTCTCACTGTGGCCGACATTGTTACTGACTCTCACTGTGGCCGCCATTGTTACTGACTCTCACTGTAGCCGACATTGTTTCTGACTCTCACTGTAGCCGACATTGTTACACTGTAGCTGACATTGTTACACTGTAGCCGACATTTTTACTGACTCTCACTGTAGCCGACATTGTTACTGACTCTCACTGTGGCCGACATTGTTACTGTAGCCTTTATTATAGTGAATCCTTCCTTCTAATCGTTTCAGATGTAAAAGTAAAAGAGGTGCTTTATTTACAATTCAGCAAGTCACAGAAATCACTTATAATGGTCGATTTTTGGCATTATAATGAAAATACTTTGACGATCAATAACATTAAGCAATTCGATATCTGACCTTTGATAAGTTTGTACGGGCATTTGGTATTGTTAACAGGTAGGAACAAAAACATGTCAAATGGATCTAGGTTAATGATCAATTTGGTGACATATTGATATTTGATATCAATATTATTGTAAAACATATCTTACTTTATTGATACAGACAGTACTTTTTATATTATGTAATTGTTCCGCAGAAGCTATCATATGCCAGAGAGCAATGAGGCGTTCGTGTTGTCCTGTCCAATCTATAATTCTCCCTTAGTCATACTAAAGGAAATCTAAAGTTATTATTATAAGCCAACAAACATCGTAAATCTAAACACCCTTTCAGCTATAGCCCACTTTCTTGCTGTGTTTTTTTTATGATGACAACAGTGATACCATCAATACAACGAGATTCTGCAGAAATCAAATGCCGCCCGATTTAAGCGTTATCAGCACTCGTCCAGCCCTAAATCCTGTTAAAATCATACCAAAATCTTAAACATATAAGAAATTTTCTTAACTTTACCTGATTTATGAAACTTATCACACTTGAACAAAACAGCCGTAGACAACATTGAAATGGGATCAACACTTTAGAAGGAAGTGATTTACCTTCATTTTTATTTTACGACGGAGTAATTAAACGAGTATTATCAATAAAAGATAAAGCAGAAGGAGCTTTCCGTCCTGTATAAGCCTGGGGGATGGGGTAATCCTCCTCCTCCCCCACACCTCCAATCCCTCGCATCCCTTATCTCACGGCATTAAGCTTGTTGTCGTTGCCGCCAGACAACTCAATAATGACCCCTAGGCCTGACATTGATACCCCGGGTATAAGGTTTGTCAAACATATCATGTCGGCTAGGGCGTTAATGCTGGGGGATACATGGGGCTCTAAGATGGACAAACATATCGTGTGATGTAGGGAGCTGGTTATCACTCCGACGTAAGCTCGTTCACAACTCAGGCCCCACTCCAGCATGGCAATGTACTAATGTTGACTGAATCAGACCTGCTGGATTTGTTCCTAATGTATTTATTGTTCAGCAAATAATACAGCGTAGCCATGTTTCTGGGGACGTTTGAAATGTTAAATCAACATAAGGAAATAGTACTTGAACTTATAAGTGAATATAAAAACTAGAACCATTTCAATACAGACAATTCTCAAGGACCTTTGTGACGAGCATTTTTATTTGAAAAACTATGCACTCAACGTCATGTATGTTGAACACATCAAGGTGTTATAGTAGCTACCAAACGGTGGTATCACACAGGTTATCACATCATGATATTTATCAATTATGGACTTTTGATGAGGTGAATATGTGGTTATATAACCCTGATGAAGTAATATTGACCGAGACAAAGTCGAGAAAGTATCACACTTGTTATTACACGTTGGTGTCCCATCTTATTACCTGCTGTCAGTTTATGTTATAACACAGATACGTCTGATCAGAGGTATATAGCACGTGTTTAATGAGTGTTTAATGAGTGTTTAATTAGATAACGCGACTTAAACATTATAACTAATTGATGACTTTCCTTATCAACATTTATAATTATAGACAATAAGTGGAATATTTTAACTACTGAGGAGGGGAACAGAGAGGGGGTTATTTGGGAGGGGAGGGGCGAGGGAGACATACAAAATACAAAAATGTACCTCGACCATACATATTGCTGCGTGAGTTGACATACTGTTTCATTTCCTTGTGGTGTGTCCAAACTACCATACAATAACAGCTGCAGTGGTATGAATTAATTGAGTCGCGATACAATGTAATTCTTTGATCTGCATGTGATATGTATCTTCAAGGAGATACCCACATTGTCGGAGTTCCTTCGTGCTATCACGGGATAGATCATTTTCTCTCATTTCCGTGTGTGTAAGATAGAGCTGTCCAGGGTAAGAAAGGGGTGTAGGAAATTTCTATCTTACACCCCATTTCACGTGACGTAACGTCACAATGGCTCAACAATGACGTGACGTCACGAATTCCATTGCCGCAATGCGAAAAAGTTGACGTGATGGAATTAAAACCTTTTACGATATATATATACCGTACATATGAGAATGATTAGATCTTTTTTTTGCGCAAACAATGTTTTCAAATATGGGGTACGCTTAATCCGGCTGTATGATTCGTTTTCATTTAAAAAGCTCAGGGGAAAAAATAATATTTTCTAAATGGTAGACAGTTCGAACGCATTTTCATGCTTTTTGCGCTTATTCTGGTAGTTGGAATGAGAGAAAAATACTCTGTCATGCCCAAGGATGTAGGATAGGGAAATTGCACCATCGCGATTTTCAAATTTGAAAACCCTCGGATGGATTTTCCCTATCCTACACCCTATCGAGTTTAAACGCTGTGTATGAACGCTATTTCCTATATCTAGATCTGATTCCAAAGTCGGGTGGTAGAGTGGAAAACGGACGAGTTTGTTAGTTACAGTCGGTAATTAGCTACGGAGGCGTTATCAGCATTGAGGTTAAGAAGGGAAGTTAGGTAGGCTGGTTTGTGATTATTGTGAATCTTGCCGAAAAGTTGTAATTTTCACATAGATCTTCTAGGTACCTATTTTAAGGATCTGCTCATGTGAAAAGTCAAAATGTTCTACAAACTTTTTTTCGAGACATACACCTTATTTAAAGAGGAGGGCAATTATGAGAAAAAGAAAAATACAAAAAAGGTATGTTTGTGTGTTCGTTTTTCCCCGCTATTGTTGGTCAACATACATCACCCCTGCATGTTGGGGAATGATAAAAGAATACACCTGCTGCTATACACTGCATCGTAAAAGGCGACTAATGTGGGAACCACCGGCAGAATTGGGGCTTTGGTTGTGTGCCGTCTCCTTACAGGCACGCAGTATGAAATAACTGTTGTATTTTATATCGACACTATCGTTACACCGAACACTTCATACATAGGTGGCATAATAACAGGTGGGTACAGTTTATGTCATCTTCTGTCTTTTTTAGTGTTCACTGTTTTGACACATGGTTCACACCGATTTGTTTATGTGTAAGCCTGTTTTTTTACGCCTCTAACTTGGTGACACAAACGCGACCAACATAAATCTGCTACAACCATTGCAATAAGTGGGAACTTTGTATTTCTCTCTACTTCTAAATGCATTTTGTTTCCTAGCGCACTGCTTGGTAATGTGTCACGTTTGAATATTTTAGTTTCTATATTACGGAAGTAAAACGTCTTCAAGTTATACCTTGATCTCAGATAAGTAGTTTGTGTTACACTTAATCCTTATTTTTAAATTAAAAAACACTTGGTTCGATTGATATAAATGATGAATAACTTTTTTTTATCATTATTCAATGGAATGAAAGAAAACGCATTTCTCTTCGAATAACAGCCAACAAATGGGGTTCTTGTGTTTCTGTTTGTGTTGGGGGGTTTTCCCCCCCATTTTATTACTTGTTACTATTTTACTTTTCAACTTTGCGGGCATAAAAAACAAAACGGCTTCAGTTGATATATTCAATAACAAAATACCTCTTTTGTACAATTTTTCGGTTTCCCATATAACTTTCATAATATTAATGAAACACTATAAGTTTGTACAGAAAAAATAAACTTGCTATAATTAAAAATGACGTCACAGTGACAATCTAAGTGATTAATATAATGTGAAAAAGGTGAAAATTTAGCGTTGCGTTGCAAGAAATTCACATTTTCAACAAGGCCGAAAACTAGTTCTGCAAACAATTGATATCTAGTGTTTTAACACATTTTTCAGATGAATGTTTGTTTTTAAAACTGATCATAATTTGTTGAATCCAATGACATTCTGTTTCACTAGATCAAATCGATATTTGATCTTGATTTGAACCCCAAAAAAGTACTTGCGAAGTAAAAGATAATCTACTAAAATATAGGGTTATCCCAGAGCTCAGTGACAAATCAAATATAAAACATATGTAAAATCAACATTATTCGGTTAGACACTATCTTGAAGGGAAACATAACTTCGGCCACCTTGAACATTGAGAAGATACCGTGGACATTTTACCGACGTAGCTATGTCTGTTCAGTGGGAGACACGTCGTGAAATACATTTATCCAATTTATCTTCAAACAATAGACAAATTATGTATTGATAACATTGGAGTGTATCTCAAACTATTCATTATCTTATATGCCGATGATACTGTCCTGTTTTCAGAAACACCAGATGGTTTACAGTTAGCTTTAAATGAATNTCCCGTAAAACGCCGCTGTAACTTATATAATCCGTTTTTGAAGATTGATTGTTCAATAATGAATTTGGCCAAATGATGACCGATCAAATAAATATTTTGCTAATTTTGATTGAATTGCTGCTGAAATTTCGTTTGGAGCTGAGTGCTGGATTATTTTGCCAATGTATGCATAATTGATTTTTATTGAAATGTGTCGCTGCAAAACGGATAAGATAAGTAACACAGGCGTTTTACGGGATAAATTATCTCCTTACCTGATTTCCACTGGACAGACATAGTATTAGATAGTTATGAATTTGGTACAATGTAAAATCGAGCAGTATTTTGCCGAGTAATGTTGCTTTTACTGATGATGGACTAGCAATCCGTTAGTTCTCTTTGCTACTAGGTGTAAACTCTGATCACCAGTTATAGGGGGCATGTTCTGGTGACCGGGAGGACGACGCCCACAAAGGAGCATCTATATACCACACGTTACTCACTATTAATATATATATAGTTAACTTTGCGCAGTGCATGTTTATGTTTTGGTACTTTTGTATATATTCCATGTGATTACTCCATATACAGTTACCATCCAATACCGACCCCGGCTGCTTATGGTTATCCATAAAACAAACGCTTGAATGGTTGTGAAGTTATATAGCTTTAGCATTTTTAATTTCATAGTCATCTTGACAACGAGTAGCTTCTGAAGGAACATTACAGTCAAGATAAAACCTAACTGAGTATCTATTAGGATAAAATTTTCAATATCCCATTTCACTAATCGCTCATTCAATATTGATAAAAACATTTCCCCCCCTCGCAAATAACTAGAGCAATGTCTTTATAAATGTACCGGTGTAATACGCCAAGTTGGCCAACATTTTTGGAGATTTTTCTTTATATCTTTGCAATTAATACGCTTATGTTCGGCTGATGTATTGCGGATTTGTTTAATATCAATGCTTACCTTTTGAGTGTATGCTCCTCACAGAGTTAGAAAGCGCCACACCCAGTGTCCTTCTCCCGTGGCCTGACGCGTTCTCGAGTGACCCTCCCCCGAGCAGACGTCTGTAGAACCCAAGGAGGAAATCTGTGGGTTCGGGCTCTCCCCCGGGTAGTATGTCATCATTAAAAACCTCCTCACCAATACACACTATTCCAGAGAGGTTTACCAAAGTAAGTCCAAGAACAACGATGCGATTATAAAGAAACATTTTTTTTAAAGCCATCAACAAATGATAATAACAATAAACACAAATATTCGAGAATGTCAGTAAAGATTTGGTGGCCGGAAACACGTTCCCCGGTTCGAGTGCGAGGTGAACACCTATACGACCAGCTCTGGTATGGGAGGAGTCTCACGGCGAGCGCCTATAAGTGGCGACATTACTCAAACCTAGCGGCCGACCTTTTAATTAATCCCAATCACTTTTGTCACGTCTAGAGATCATAGTAACACTGAACTATACCGTGGGTTCAACACTACTATATGGTACTAACACCTCGTGCCATATAGCCAATTTTGACCAATATATTTTTTTTACCGGAAGAACTCATATTTTCTGTACCAGAGGCCTGTGTACCTCCTACAAATGGGTTTAATTTGTTTTGCTGAAAGAGTTCGTTCGGTAATATCACGGAATTAGACCATATAATCTAAATGTTAGATTCTATATATTAGTCCGGTTTTCAAAAGTCAATATACATGTTGCTGTTGATATTTCCTTTTTATAAATAATCCTCTATCTATACGTTTTGTAACATTTGATATTCTGTTGTATAGAAACGCTGTGTACGTAGTATACCTGCCTTACTGCTATATATTCCATCCTACAATGCTATATATGCAGTGGACCTATTGAGAGATATGTAATATAAAAGTATTCCCTTAAAAAAAAATGGTCATTTACATTACATTAACGTTTGTTTGTTTCGACTCATACTAATATAGCAATGCATATTTTCCAAGTGTTCTATATATTTATATATATATATAGCGATAAATAGTTTTAACTTAAACTTTATCTTATTATCGGTATAATATTCCAGTAATACAAATATGATATACATAAAGGATTCGAAAACAAGTACAAAGTACTTATGTAAATCCGTCTGGTTTTGGTAAAACGGCGATTGGAAGGCACTGACTAAAGTTATACATATAGATAAAAGTATACCGGAAGAGAAGAGGATAGGGGAGGGATGTTTAAATAGTTTTAATTGTCCTTGTGACGGTAAAAATAGATACGGGGCATATTGCAAATGTTCAAGTGAATACATTGTTAAAATGTAGAAGTTAAAAACATCTGATAGAAACCGGGCTTGAACGCGGGAAATTTCGAGCACCTCTTATAAGTTTAAATTTACAAATTCCTTATGTTTAATCTGTTCGGATGAACAAAGTATGGTGCTTTGAGATTCATTTTTTATCAGATGTTTTTAACTTTTACTATTGAACAATGTATTCATTTGAGCATTTGTAATATGCTCCGTTTCATTTTCCATATTTTTCATTGGCGCATTTAATGCAAGAACATTCGTGTAATCTCGCAATTTCTAGACGTCCGCATTATATATGTGTACTTTGTTTATGACGTCATTATTTTTGACGTCACAAATAATTTCAAATCGCCTGAAGAGCCTCAAGATGGGCAAGGGGAGGGGATAAAAAGCATTTTGTGGCATGTCAGTAAATGTTGTACACTTGATTTCTTACTCATACTAGAATCTGTTTTATTTTTCCACTGGATTGAAATAAATCAACTGAAATATAAGCTTAGGTATAAATATTACTTCTAGCTAACTCAGTTGTAACATGTTAAAACGCTCACAATCGCTGCCGTCAGATTTCGCTGACAATCCCCGTGTTTTATAGAGCAGTCGATAGCTGACCATAAACAGGCGACCGATCAGAATTTTTGAGCCTGTGATTATGGTCTGTTTTAGCGGACTAGTCCGCGTGGTGCTTTGTGCATCATATGGCGAAGAACGTATGATTCTATATTTAGATCTTATGTATATCGATCCTAAATCGTGTCCAAAATTGTGAACTGCTAGATAAAACACTGAGCAAAATTATGTCCAAAAGTGTGTACGGATGGGTGTAAAATCACATGTATACTGCACCCGGCGTGTTTTAATATGACGGAACCTGTCGTTTGTGACCAGCTAACTATATCTCACTGTTAAAATTAATTGAATCCTTGTGATTTTGTTGACGGGCAGAGTGTCTACCGATCAACTTTTTTCTATCTCATTTCAAATGACATCCCCTTATTTAAAAAATGGAGGACAGGAGAGCGGAACAGACGGGCGGCGCGCCGTCATAAGCAGACATCGCTAATCCATGCCACCGTTTATATCCCAATATTCCTACAATGACGAGAGTAAAGATGTTTAGACAGGGGTAAGGCCTGTCACAACATCGTTAATGGATACATGTGTTCGGGTTTTTGTGGGGTTTTTTTTACATTCACATTGAAATTCGTTATAGTCAAGCAAAACAAGGACAACAAGAAAAAGAACCTTCGACGACAGCACTGGTAAACATTAAAAAAGAACCTTCGGCGACAGCACTGGTAAACATTAAAAAAGAACCTTCGGCGACGGCACTGGTAAACATTAAAAAAGAACCTTCGGTGACGGCACTGGTAAACATTCAAAAAGAACCTTCGGTGACGGCACTGGTAAACATTGAAAAAGAACCTTCGGTGACGGCACTGGTAAACATTAAAAAAGAACCTCCGGTGACGGCACTGGTAAACATTAAAAAAGAACCTTCGGTGACAGCACTGGTAAACATTAAAAAACAAGAACCTTCGGTGACAACACTGGTAAACATTAAAAAAAAAACTTCGGTGACGGCACTGGTAAACATTAAAAAAAGAACCTTCGGTGACAACACTGGTAAACATTAAAAAAGAACCTTCGGTGACGGCACTGGTAAACATTAGAAACAAGAACCTTCGGTGACAACACTGGTAAACATTAAAAAAGAACCTTCGGTGACGGCATTGGTAAACATTAAAAAAAGAACCTTCGTTGACAACACTGGTAAACATTAAAAAAGAACCTTCGGTGACGGCATTGGGAAACATTAAAAAAAGAACCTTCGTTGACAACACTGGTAAACATTAAAAAAGAACCTTCGGTGACGGCACTGGTAAACATTAAAAAAGAACCTTCGGTCACTTGTCAAGTATATTTTTAATAACCTACATCGTAAACTGTGCCATCTGATGGAATGTGTGGTTGTGGCACAACTGAAACTTGAGTGGCAACTCCCGACCCAAGAGTGACATCATTGACTTTATCACATAATGTACTGTGTTATCCAGCGAATATACCCATGTCATATTTTTTGGCGTATTAACCCATGTAATATGACCTATCAGCCCTGCGATTGGTTGTAAGTTTCAATTGTTTCAATTGTGACGTCACGCCTAGGACAAGTACATGACGTCACAGACTTACGCACTGGATTCAAAATGGCGGCATTTTTACATTTCAAGGTTGCATGGAAATTGTCGATTTACACGAATAAATGCCATAAATCTTGATTATGTTATGTGATAAAAAGGATCTTACACTCGTTTTCATTTCATATGAAATTGATGAAACTTGTCACGAATTTTTCATTTTAGCTCACCAGAAAATTGAAAAATACTGAGACTCGTTTCATAAATCTCATAAGACTGAAATGGAAACTCATGTAAGATCCTTTATGTCTGTAACCGGAATTTCGTCGAAAAGAATAAATAGTAAATGCTTCAAATTAAGAACATAACAAGGACCTTTCGCGTTTAACCAGCTGAACATGACACGACAGGCTCAGATCTAAATCATGGCTGATCTCAGGAGTATCACATGTATATTTTATGAAACGTTTAAACGGAATATAATTGTGAACTATGCATTATTATAACTCTGCCTACATTTCGGTCCAAGTGCGTCTGTATATCGCAGAATATTTCTGCACCACTTGGACCGTTTTAGGGTAATAAGTTTAAAATTCCGATAAACCCCCGTGGTTTGTTGATTCGAGATCTGTTATGATTTAATTGGATGATGGACGAGAGTTGTGGCTCAATATCATGTCACTTGAGAACTTCAATTTCCATCGGAAAGACTACCGCTGACTATACATGAAACGCCCCTGTGTACTCTGTCAAAACATCTCTTTCCAGACACACCTATAACATTGAATATGCAGAGTAATTAGTTACTTCAACGGACTTTACATAATAATTTACCACTTCTCTTCTTTTCCCCCTTTTCCGAACAAGCTTTGTAGGTGGGGCTGCCCAATCACTGGCTTGTTGGGACCTCTCTCTCTCTCGGACTCCCCTCGAACTAAATGTTCCTTCTCTTAACTTTAACTAAGTGAATGATTATTAATTATTATGTAATATATATAGTCTGTCATTTGTGCTGCATAAACCCAACTTCGTGACAAAATCTTCAATTAGTTGAAGGTGGTCACTATATGGTAGAAATAGAACTATTGTGAGTCCCGGGTTCGAATTCCCGATCTCGTCCGTTGCATCTAAAATTTTACAATTTTTCGTTGTAACAAGTAACATCCAGAAATTAAAGCTTGCTGTGGCCAATTACTCTGGAAATGACGTTTTGTGATTTTACGCTACAAATGAAACATATTTACGATAAGTAAACACGGTTATCACGATCATTTGGCTCCAGTCTCGTAAAAGGGAGATAATCCTGTTAATCACCGCAAAAAACAATACCTGAGTGTGGGAACGGGTGGGGCAGACGGAAAGGGCGCCGACATAACACCTCATATCTCGTCACGCTTTTCTCACTCCTCTGTTTATTTCTAATTAATCGCACCATGCTCGGGAGTAAGTATGTTTAGACGGTGGCGATAAAGCCTATCAAAACATCGTTACGGTCATTGGTCAGATGTCAACTCGACGTCACGGCTGGGCTGTTAATAGAAATGGATTAGTTTTGTTGATATAAACGTAACGATAGCTTAACGTAATATGTTACTTTACACATATCATGACACATGTGATTTGTTTAAAGTTACACCTCTTCATTGTTTTTTTACAACACTGTTTTAAGAGAGAGGACGAGCGGAATGATGCATGATAGGCATATATTTTCTAAACATTAACATTAAAAACATTGCTACTAATAATCCTGAACTAATGTGTTTTATTGCAACATCAATGTACTATGACGTAACGGCAGATGTTGACGCACAATGGTGTAACATGCCTTTGACGTCAACTCGTTTCAGGTTTGATGTTTGTGACATACGACTGGCTTTGTAAAACACGTGCTTTAAAAGCTGCCTGAATGTAAATAGACATATGTTAAGTCCATTTATATGACATGCATATGGTCACGATTTGTATATGACAAATGAAACCGATTTTGTCAATGATCGAGTTAAACGTGAAGACAACGGTTAACAAGTGAAAGAAAAATGTGATAAAATAACTCTGATAAATTAATGTTAACTATGTATAATGATATGTAAGTTATAAAGCATATATTGAATTACATGTGAAAGCGCGCACAATTTATACTACATTAGTAGTTATCGAAGAGAAGACAAACTAAAAACATAAAGTATAATAACTTTTATTGAAATCTACTATTTTGTGGCGTATTTGGTCACGGCAATTTTACCTAGTCGGGCTGCCGACAAGTATTTGGTCAGCCCTCAACATAAGTCATCAAGTTCAAGGACACCAGTTTAAGTTCACAAGTTTAAGTACACAAGTTCAAGTTCAATTTCACAAGTTAAAGAAGATCACAAGGTTCAACATTATTTGACCCTGGGTACTCTGGGAGAGTGTCAGCGGTCAAAGTTCAATAATTGATTTCATAAATTATTTGTCCCTGGGCACAGCGGACAAATAGGAAAAAGTAGCCTAAACAAATTGTTATCGTTGTGCGCTGCGCAAACGCCAAAAAAACCTCACAATATTGCCGTGCCGTAAAACGTCTTCCAGAAGAAGCTCTATGTTAACCTAATCTAATTAAAATTATATCTTCACATCGCCCGTTTTCTGATATGACGTTCGACATATCAGAAAACGGGAGCGATGTGAAGATATAATTTTAATTAGATTGATGTCAACCTGGTGGTGTCGAACCAAATCTGAAATTTACAGAAGACTGGGCGCAGTATCTGTTTTACAAAAGAACAATAACAAGGAGTGTGGAGGGTGGGTAACACTTTTTTCCACCATCCTATTTTACCACTATTTATTTCCTGTTCAGCAACAAGTTTCCCCATCAGTGGAAGGGAGATAACTGGTATTACATCACCATCATCAAACACTTAAACGCCACAGTCTTCCTACAATATTATAAAAATAGATGTTGTTCCATTCAGAGTTATCACACTGTATACGCATACCAATAAATCAATTCTAAAAATCGCATACAAGATTATATTTCGCTCATCACATTTTTCCACACATGCTTAAATGTCTAAAAGTTCCTCCTCCCTTAACTGTTATTTGCAATTATGCAATCTTCTGTCCGTTAAAATGTATACAGCTGACACAGCATACACAATGGCTACTGTGCCCCCATCCTCGATACTCGAGGGTTTACTCTCACTAACGCGCGCTCTCTCTCTCTGCATCCCTGGAATATTTCAAATCAAAATTGAAGGCTCAGTGTGCGCCACCTTGTGGATCAGATGTACATCAAAAGAATCGCTCGGTCGCGTAACGGTACAATCGACTGGCTTTAAACGTAAAGCCGGGTGTCGCTCCTCTGTAATCTTCAAAGGCCTAGGTGTTTTTTTTACCTAAGACCAGTCAAATTTCTATGCGCGTGCCTTCAATTTTACTATGACATATTCCAGGGATGCAGAGAGCGTATATGAGCGTTGCCTCATATATTCGAATAAAATCAATTCCCCACATCTTATTATTAAAGCCATCGACATCAAATTAAACTCAATGTTTTTGGATGTTGTCAATTTAAAATGACGAAATTATACATACTTTTATCTCTCCATCTATAAAATATCACCTATTTCCGTTAAAACGACTTATGTCGTTCACCCAGCTTCTGTTAGAATTATGAAAAACAAAAAAGTCAAATAAATGCCGCACATTTCACATTAAACATGTTTGAAATATGATAACGGATAGTTAGAAAATGTACATGAAATGAAACCCTGATATGTTATTGATACGTGTATATGTTTTGGCTGCTATTTTGAGTAAAATACAACCAAAAAACATTCACATAAAAAAACGTTAAATTGTTCATAAACAAAGCAAGAAAATGACGTTCTAATGAATGTTTTCGACGCAAAACAGCGTAGCGTTACATAATGGCTAGATCTGGGGAAATAAATGCTGTGCATCGGTGTTGGGACACACACTATATCTAAATTTTACCGTCAAAGGGGGAGTCAGAGAATTCGCCAATGCATGTTTTTTTTTGTCATTTAAGAAGACACATTTATCATTTCATTCGAAAGTCGCAAATATGGCATTTTTGGCAATAATGTAAACGACGTCAAAATGACGTCCGATTTTTCTTCAACTAAACATTTTCCTATAGCTGTAATTTTATTTGGATTACCAGTTGATGCCAATGATATTCGGTCTCTTGAATATCTTGGCAGTAATATAATATAGGGTTTATAGATTTTCTCTTGGGTTCATTTTTTTACCAAAGTTAGAAAAATATGTGTACAGTTAAACGTGGAATCAGTGCATATATATTCTAAATAATTTTCCACTTTGATCATAAATTTATGTTCGTGTAGTATGATCACACATTTATGTTCGTGTAGTATTATCACACATTTATGTTCGTGTAGTATGATCACACATTGATATTGGTGTAGTATGATCACGTATCGATGTTCGTGTAGTATGATCACACATTGATGTTCGTGTAGTATCATCACACATTTATGCTCGTGTGGTATGATCACATATCGATGTTCGTGTAGTATGATCACACATTGATATGTAGTATGATCACACATTTATGTTCGTGTAATATGATCACACATCGATGTTCGTGTAGTATGATCACATATCGATGTTCGTGTAGTATGATCACACATCGATGCTCGTGTGGTATGATCACACATCGATGTTCGTGAAGTATGATCACACATTGATGTTCGTTTAGTATGATCACACATTTATGTTCGTGTAATATGATCACACATCGATGTTCGTGTAGTATCATCACACATTTATGCTCGTGTGGTATGATCACACATCGATGTTCGTGAAGTATGATCACACATTGATGTTCGTTTAGTATGATCACACATTGATGTTCGTGTAGTATCATCACACATTTATGCTCGTGTGGTATGATCACACATCGATGTTCGTGAAGTATGATCACACATTGATGTTCGTTTAGTATGATCACACATTGATGTTCGTGTAGTATCATCACACATTTATGCTCGTGTGGTATGATCACACATCGATGTTCGTGAAGTATGATCACACATTGATGTTCGTTTAGTATGATCACACATTTACGTTCGTGTAGTATGATCACACATTGATGTTCGTCTAGTATGATCAAACATCGAAGTTCGTGTAGTATGATCACACATTGATGTTCGGGTAGTATGATCACACATTTATGCTCGTGTGGTATGATCACATATCGATGTTCGTGTAGTATGATCACACATCGATATTCGTGTAGTATGATCACACATTGATGTTCGGGTAGTATGATCACACATTTATGCTCGTGTAGTATGATCACACATCGATGTTCGTGTAGTATGATCACACATTGATGTTCGTGTAGTATGATCACACATTTATGCTCGTGTGGTATGATCACACATCGATGTTCGTGTAGTATGATCACGCATTGATATTCGTGTAGTATGATCACACATTGATGGTCGTGTAGTATGATCACACATCGATGTTCGTGTTGTATGATCACACATCGATGTTCGTGTAGTGTAATCACACATTGATGTTCGTGTAGTATGATCCCACATCGATGTTCGTGTAGTATGATCACACATTGATATTCGTGTAGCATGATCACACATTGATGTTCGTGTAGTATGATCCCACATCGATGTTCGTGTGGTATGATCACACATTTATGTTCGTGTAGCATGATCACACATCGATGTTAGTGTAGTATAATCACACATTGATGTTCGTGTAGTATGATCACACATTGATGTTCGTGTAGCATGATCACACATCGATGTTCGTGTAGTATAATCACACATTGATGTTCGTGTAGTATGATCACACATCGATGTTCGTGTGGTATGATCACACATTTATGTTCGTGTAGTATGATCAAGCATGAACGTAACATGATTGCACCTTTTGCACACACATACAGTATGTCAAAAATATAAATTACACTGCATCTAAAGGGTGCGTAAAACCTCTTAATTTATGGATTTCAAAATTGAGAGTACTGATTAATTTAGAATTAAATCAATAGTAAAGTGTGTATATTATGAGTCGTGCCACTACTGTAGACAGCGAATGATTGACATTAACAGGTAACTGTATCGTTCTGTACAAACTTGCTACCATGGCACTTTACACACAAGTTGTCCATCATGCTTGAGATGAACGATTGTGTAAAAGGTGTCCGGTATATAAAACGACTGTCAACTGGATGCTAATTGCCACTAAACAGCTAAGTAAATAACAATAAAATAATGATAAGTCGTGGTGCTTACCGCTTTATCACAACCCAGTTCGCGAATGCGACCATAATTTTTCTTCACCAATTCCCGGACTTAATCTTATAATTCCGTGCCCAAATAAAGGTTACTCATGATAGTGTTGACGTCATTCCCCGACATAAATCACAATGTTACAAGGAGAAGATGTCGTAAGGTAAATACTTCTGACATGCCACTCTAGTTTACAATTAATAACCATGTAACAAAATAAATTTTGTGACGTGTGTGACGCATCCGGAAAATTATACGCCGGTGAATACTTTCCATATTAGAACGTTCTTAGAAACCGGAAGTTTATGAAAATACAGATGAGGCGGGGATTATCAAACTTATTAGAACGGTATTGGGTAAAATATGGGTAACTTTTTGACATCTTCCTTTGAAAGAAACCGAGGACGAAAAAGGAAAATTGATGATACGGATAACCCAACCCAGACATCAGTCACAGGACCTGTACTAGGAGCAGCAACCAGAGACATTTTGCATACACCAAAACGGTACTGACCCACAAACATCTCATGGGGATGTCGGTCCCCTACTACCATCACACATACGCATGTACACTTAAATTCGAGACAGATACCCATGACTGGCCTTTGCTTTTACATTTATCGACCGTTCATCACGAATTGTCAGATATTTCATCGGGCTCATTTCAACAGGTTGGGCACAGCGGCGCAGATTTACCCCAAAACACACTCAAAAACACATCACCGATAGTGTTTAGCTGAAGAAAATAGTAAATTATTTTACTGTAACGATTGTATGCAATTTGTTTTATTTTCTGTGAAAAATATATCGCTGCAAGTAAAGGGAGGTAAATCGTTCAAGAACGACATACACAACGATGCAATTACAAATAGGTAAACTCCATGTGTTTGTATTAATAATTTACTAGCTTTTTCAAAACTTTCAATCAACCTTGAAGACAATACCACCACACTCGTCCAGTCAGATTTAAGTTCAAAATATTTTTGAATATTTTATTGTTACACCAACAAACATAATTACATAAGAACAAATTGATTTCAGAGTTGTGGACAAACAACAACTCTGAATCAATAAACAACAGACTAAAACAAGTAGCCGACTTCAAACAACACCGATTACCAGATTTAGTTGGGAAAATGGCATTGGTAGGAAACATCCAAATTCTTGACCTAAGAAGGGTATTTCATGGAAGTGGCAACTTCTCAGTACACACAAATTTCAAATCTTTTCAATTTTTGAGAGATACTTGGATCAATAAAAGTAATGAAGAAAAGGATATATATTTCCAAAACTTTCTGGCAAAAAAGAAAACAATCAAAATTCTGGACTCAAAATTTGTCAAGTCAACAGCTTCTGATTACCGATGTCCACCACCAAAACAGAGCTGCGGGAAAAAAACCAGGCCAACGTCGACGGTTGAGGTCTAAGAAAACACGATAAAATGCCACTTTCATGCAACCCATCAATATTTCGTATTTTAAATTAAATTGTAGTGCACAACCCCCGTCGTTGATAAGATAGTCAAAATCATATTTTTTGTCTCCGTTTCCGTGTCTCGGAGCCATACTTCATGGTTATCTAGACATGAAATTGCATTTCAAAGTAAGACTATTTATATATTGTACTGATCTTTTTCATCCTAAATGGTATGTTCTTTGTAGTATTTATGTATATCTTAGAATATTAATATTGATTAGGTCACAGTTATGCATATTTTTTGTCTCAGTTTCCTCTTGTCGAAAACCAAACTTCATTGTAATCTAGACATGCAATTGCATTATTTATATTGTACTTATCTTTTTATGTCCTCTACATAGTATTAATAATTATTTCTTTCTTTTGTATTTACTATGAAGTAGACTTTTATTCTTTTGTAACATTCTTGGTAATTTTGATCTTACTGCGTAACAAATGTTTTAGTTATATATTTTTAATTATGTATTCGTTTTATTTAGAACAATCAGTAATTGTGAAATATGTTTATCTGTGAATTGTTTTTATTTATAAACTATACATATACTATATCTTTTTAGAACGTACTGTGTTATACGATTTACCTTGCTTCTGAAATAAAATATGTACGTAAAAACGTCTTTCGTTTATTATTATATTTTATACAATTTACTTCCCCTTACCTGGTAGCATAACTCCGGTTTTATTTAAAGAAAAGACTCAATCATTCATCTAAGGTTATTATTCACAATAAAATAGATTCAAAGGTTTTTTGGGGTAGTTTTGGGTGTTTTGGGGTAAATCATCGTGCCCCTATAATCCTGCCATTTGGGTAACAGTTACTTTTTCTTCTTTTCTAATTTAGAATGGAGGATTTTCACATTTCATGTTTACCATCACTCTGATTTTTATGCCAATTATTAATTGAAAACAGAGTTATGTCTCCTAGCAAAATCATTTAGAGAATTCAAATGGATAATAATACAATGACCAATTTCCCAGCAAGAGCTTGAACATTGCCAACACAGGATTATCAGTCTCCACCTATTTTTAACAGTTTGAAAGTGGAGAAACAAGTAAATTTACGAATTCAATGTAGATTGTAGTCTCGATTTTTAAGGCATTTTCACAAAAGCCTCAGTTATTTTGTTTTAAAAAAAACCAACACAAAATTAACAAAAAAGACAATAATCTTATTGAAACATAACAGGAACTGTCTAATCTGACCAAAACAACCTAGCAACACGTTTTACATTGCAAAATGTATTTACATTCTTGATACCGTGTGACTTCCATCTTTCATTTACCATTATATTATAATTCCCCTTGTGTTAAAATCTTCATTTTCATACGAAGTACGGTTGTGTCAAATTGTCATATGAACATCAATGTTTTCAGGGATAATTACATATTAACAGGGTTTTCTTGCATGTACTCGTCTTCATAAGGAAAATAGCCATTTTTCCATTATCTCAGAAAGTCTCGTGTTACCTGCACGCCATTTCATCGATGTTTTGATTGGTACACAACCATAATAACCACTGGGAAATACGATAAAATCACTTTACTTCCAGACATACTTTTTTGTGCACTTTTTATGCCAACTCTGAAATACAATTTGGATTATCTCCCCTTAGCTTGGGCATAGCTTCCTATAGCAATATTTACAATTGCTAAACATATAGAAAACTTATTGGAAAACATTATCCTGAGTCTGAGAACTTAGTCCTTGGATCATAACATGATTGATCATCATGAGCTCACCACCCCATGACCATCCATGCTATTGCGGGGCAAATTCTTGATACTACAATGATACAAAGCTTATCTGATGTTCTTCATTTGTTGTTTTATAGGTTTATAGTTTTTTCCTTATTATATTTTCAGGAAAAGAATAAAATCAACGTCAAATTATATCTATCAAACCTTATTCCTCAATGGAGAAAATAGTGATGTTACAATCAGTGCCCTAGGAAAGGAATGGAAGCTCCATAAACTTTACTTGTCACAGGTACAGTATATGTAAGGTATACAAAACAATAAATAGGGCCAACAGCTTTACTGCTTTATAAGTAGAGTGTGTCTGCTATAAGCAGATATTATTTGATGAATATTTCACTTATCAATAATTCAAATTTACTAACAGTAAGTAAATATTAATATCAGTTATAAGTAAATGTATGTTTTATATATATATTGATCCCACCCTCATCAGATGGTGAACTGTTCCAATTAGTCGTCCATCCTGAAACAATTATTGTTATCACAATTTCTCAAGAAGTACATTATGAATCTTTCTCAAAATTCGTATGATGGTTCCTCTTTGTCATTTTTTGAACATGTTTCATGTTGAAACTAATTGGAAGAACAAGGTGGCTGCCATGCAATCATTTGGATTTTGACAGTTAACATTTGCTATTGCTATTTCTCAGAAAGTACAGGGGTATCAACATGGTTCTAAATACACATTCAGTATTGGAACTGATCTGAAAAGCAAGATAGTTCCGTTGCCATCGTACATGTTCAGCTTGGGACGTCTGATAAATCGACAGGGTGCATGTGGCTGTCAATATTTGACATTAAAAGCTTGTTATTGCTTTTTCTCGTAAATAATGGTTGGATATATCCTTAGTTTCTGGTTGAAATTTTATGGACAGAAAATGTTATCAAAACACAGAAAAGTATACTTTTTCTTTGATATTACTGCTATTATTACTAATTGTTAGCTTAGTATGTTGAGGGGAGGTAACTCTGCACTTTAAATTAACATTTAGTAATTTATGCATCTGGTGACGGTACATTTAATTTTTAATCTCATGACAGTGTTGTATGAAGAATTGTTAAGTATTATTTTCTGTTTCATTATAGTCCCCTTACTTCTCCTGTATGTTCAGCGGTTCCTGGAAGGAGTCCTCACAGTCAGAGATTTACATTGATGTGGCAGATACAAACATTAATGAAGAAGGTAAAGTACAGGATCTTTATTAATGTAAAAGATGAAATATTAATGGAGGTATATAGAGTACAGCAGATCTAGATTAATGTAGAAGATAAAATATTAAGGGAGGTATATAGAGTACAGCAGATCTAGATTAATGTAGAAGATAAAATATTAAGGGAGGTATATAGAGTACAGCAGATCTAGATTAATGTAGAAGATAAAATATTAAGGGAGGTATATAGAGTACAGCAGATCTAGATTAATGTAGAAGATAAAATATTAAGGGAGGTATATAGAGTACAGCAGATCTAGATTAATGTAGAAGATAAAATATTAAGGGAGGTATATAGAGTACAGCAGATCTAGATTAATGTAGAAGATAAAATATTAAGGGAGGTATATAGAGTACAGCAGATCTAGATTAATGTAGAAGATAAAATATTAAGGGAGGTATATAGAGTACAGCAGATCTAGATTAATGTAGAAGATACAAATATTTATTAGTGCAGGGGATGAGAATTGCTTTAGGAGACATATAGATTCTGTCTTTTGTAGGTATTTGGGATATAGATATTTTACATCTAAGAGTAGAATTTCCATATCCCCATACTTTCAAAACAAGTGCCTCTTTCTCACACTTCTTACCCTGGATCTTGTGTTGGTACAATATACAAAAGGCTTCTGTAAACTGATAAAAAGAAGAAAAACGTTTAGTGTATACCTTAAAAAAGTTATCACGTTAACAGTTTCTTTCTTTCTGATGGAAGCTACAAGAATAGTGCTATTGACTTTTCCAATCTTTGTCTTTTATAGGTAATTAACCGTAATGTATGTTTCTTTCAGCCCTGAAGATAGCATTAGGTTCCCTGTATAAGGACTATGTTTTCATCAAACCTGTACAAGTTGTGAATGTGTTGGCTGCTGCTATGTTGCTTCAGTTGGTATGTACATATGTTGGGTATGGCTGTAATATCCTGCAGTTGGTATGAACACATATTATATGGAATTTGAAATTTATAGATTTAGTATACCGGTACCGTCCACTTATTGAGAGGGGTACGTATCAATCAGTTTATCTGTGTGTGTATGTGTGTGTGTCTGTAGTAAAAAGTTTGTATACAAAATATCCCATGACCCCCGGAACACATTTAATTCCTATTTACACCATAGACAGTATGATAATATTAACTCCTGATTAGATTTCGGTGGTCAAAGCTCACACTTGACCACATTGACCACATTGAGGGGGGGGGGGGGGGG